GAAAGAGCATTTATTGATTTAAATACTGTTAAAAACATTTCGTTTGCAGCCAGAGTATGAGTGGGCTGACACTTAATACTGCTTTGATATTTAAATCTTAAATACTGGAATTGCTGTCGTTTTTAACTTCCACTATTCTCATAATCTGTTGATGTGGATGTAATGGTCTCTTATTTTCTTAAGGAGACAGAAAGCATCTCAAATACTGTAACAAATGTGTGTGATGTGGAGTCAGATTTTTCCAACTATGCTTCGAAAAGTCTTCCTTCTGATTCACTAGGTAAAATGAAGTGGAAAAATTTTGTGGGGGAAAAGAACAGAAATTTGGGGAGTGGGTAACTATTAATGGATTTAAAAAAAATATCTGTGCTATACTAGACAGTAACTGTATATAGTTTGTAACCAAATTTTAATGGCTCAGTTCTGGAGAAAGAGTAACTATATAAGAACATTTTTATAGCTTTGTCCCCTCTGGAGGAAGAGGGAGGCTTAGTTTTGCAAAGCTACTGTATAAACTGCTGGAAACTTGTGGTAGAGGGCGCAATGGCTTAGAATCTGGGCATATTCTGGTTACAGGTGACTGCTGAAAAGTTTGAATGTTTTGGGGTAAATTCAAAGTTATGCAGTACTGTGTTTCTAACTGTACAACATGTTACATATATATGTGTATACAAGCCTCCTACTTTTAGAAGATTCTATATACTGTAATTAAAATTTATCATTTTTTGATCATTGAACTCTTTGTCTGTTTTGGGTTAGCAGAGACGAACTTTTTTCCGCTTGACATATATAGGACTAATATCCACCAAAGAACACAAGCAGCTGTGTGGGTTTCCTTTTGTGAAATTTATAATGAATATGTGTATGACCTATTAAATGTATTTTCTACATCAAAAATTCAGAAGCGCAGAGTCTTAAGAATTTGTGAGGATCAAGGAGGAAATTCTTATATTAAAGGTAATAATATTATTTTATGACCTCAGGGCTTTCACAGAATTTTTTAAATGATCAGAAGTGTATGTGACAAGTCTCTTTTCACAGACTTGAAGTGGGTTAACATTCAGAGCATTGAAGAAGCCTGCAAAATACTAAAAATAGGAAACAAGAACCGAAGCTTTGCTTGTACTAGAATGAATGAGCAATCAAGTAGAAGGTTTGTTCCTCTAATTATAAGTATACTCTGTCCTTTTTTCTTTTAAGGGGAGGGGGGAGGGAGGAGAGGAAAGGAAGAGAAGACTCTAGAAATAGAGAAGGTGGTATACTTTCTGCTGAAAATGTCTTTTTACTTGATTTTAATGTCCTCTTATTAGTTTGTCCTTTAAATGTGGAGGGGCCATGTCTATTTAGCTAACATAAACATAGTGTTACTAACCTGCTTTTTCTCTAAAAAGCAAGAGTTACACTGTTCTGTATCATCTAAAGACAGCTGCCATTATATTTCAGATTTACTGAGTTTAGATAATACCTAAAATTTTACATGTGAAGTAGCTACCCGAGTGCTTATCTCCTGATCAGTAGACTTGGGTGAACTGGCTTGTTTTTTCTCCAGGACAGCTTCTGGGCTTCATGTGATATTTTTTTACCTTTCCTGTATTGAAATAAATGGAAATCACAAAATACAACTTTTATTGCTGCTGTTTGCTGCTGAATCAATGTATTGGGAAGGCAACTACTGTAATTAGTGAATTAATTCTTGCTTCAGCACTGAACTTTCTGTAGCATACAAGTTTTACTTTGATTCACTGACTGCTTAATTCTCATCATTGCTGTTATTAAAAAGGACTTCTCTCCATTCCAGTCACAGTATATTTTCAATCAGGCTACTAAAGCTAACTGATGAGCATCAGCCGCGCGTTCTTGGAGTTTCAGAGTAAGTAAGTGAATGCTTTGGCCGATAAGCAAATTGTAAATATTTTAGACAAATTGATAAGGTGTAAGCATGCTAAACTGATGAACTTTTGTTTAATAGAAAAATCCTCTGAGAGCTGAGAAGGAAATTGGAACTCCAGTAGCTGCCTAAAACTGACTGGAAACCTGATAGGGACAGGTGTAGAAGTGTGTGGTTTTGGTTTTTTTTTTCCTATTGAAGTTTGGCTGAAGGAACCTGTTAAAACTCTGTCAGTAGTAGATAAATTGAGGGAAATATGTGTGTTGTCTTACATAATGAGGAGGCGGGGACAGAGTAGCACAATGTAACACCACACTGCGTATTCTGGTAAGCAGAATTCAAACGACTGGCTGATAGAAGCCAATCTCTAAATTTAGAGTGCAGCAGTCAGTGCTGAAGACCCAAGGTTCAATCTATGTCAGTGTATGTTTTTACTTTGCGACCAGACTAGACTTTATGGGCTGATTGTGGCAGCACATGCAAATACAAGTGTATCATCCAAAAAGAATGCAGGAGACATGCACTGGAACTGCTCCATGGTACAATCTACAGTAAAAGCAAATCAAAATCAAAAAGCAAATCAAAATCAAAAGCAAATCAGCTTAAAAACTGTTCTCCTGATCTAAAATGCTAATGCGGGTGCACCCTGTGACTGCAGTGCTAAATCCTTACACCTCTCTGCTCTCGTGTGCTTTAGAGGAAATGGCCTAATCTTTTGGCTTGAAACCATTTAGATAGCCTTTGTTTGTTTGTTTTTCCTGATTAATTGTTCATTTAGCTTGATAGGGAAAAATGAGGACAGCCTGTAATAGTGTGGTTTAGTTCAGTCCCAGCTGATACTGATTTCTTTCTTGTCTTTACTGAGCAGAGATGATAATAAATACACCTCACTGTGAGATAACACCTTTTAATGTCAGACATTACAATGATAAATACTCTAAGGAAAGATAACTTGAGGAAATTACTACATTCCTTGCCATTCCCTGTCTTGGTGTATTCCCTTGGCAAAGCTTGCAGCAGCTGTTAGATAAATGACAAAGCACATATATTGCTTAAGGAAGAAAAAAGCTCTTCGTCTTGTACTGGAAAGGATATGATCATGAGATCATAGCCTTTCACACAGTTGAAATATGTGCCTTAATATGTGTGGTATTACTATGTACTTATTTTGTCTGTGTGAAAGTCTATGGTCTTACAAAGGTGTTATTTTATGTAAATAAATGTATGTATAAGTGAGTAATAGTTGGGTTATACAAACTTTCTAACTTGCAGGGCTTTCTTAATATACAGTAGAAGTGATGAAATTCCTGGGTTATCCAGGGCAATAGCCTCTGATTGTAACCTACTGTACCATGAGAGACAATTCTCATGTGGCCTGAGTTCAGCAGCACATAATTATTATAGCCAAAGAAAGAGCTCTAAGGTGATCTGGGAAGGACTTGGGGCTTCTTATTTGCACTAGTGAAAGAATGATTCTCTATTGAATAGAAGTGGCCTGCGGTTAGGGAAGCGTACTGCTGTCCTGCGATCCTCTCTGGGCTGGAACTGGCGAAGGTGACTGTCAAAGTGCCTCTGTCATATAGCCCCAGAAATTCCTCTTATCTTGTCTGGAAGTATCTGCTTTAGGATTGCAACAGAATTTGGGTTCCTAAACTGAATTCTTTATATAAAAATGCCCACAAAGTTTTAGATGAATGCTACAAACAGGTTCTTTGAATGTGCTGAATAGATGATCTTAGGAGCAGCAGTCTTCTTCAAGTCTCTTTGTATGCAAGAGGACGATAGACAGTTTAGAGCTGTTATCCTAAATACCTTGCAGAAAGCCTCCTGGACAAAATGTCAGCATTAAAGTGCAGCTTATTCTGTGATCTAGGTAGGCTGAAATGAGCCACTCATTTACACTTTAGACATATAACAAAATAAAAAGACATGCAGTTCTATTTTCATATTGTTTAGAAACAAGCTTATACATATGTTCTGGATAATTCTTTCATTCAGGTTGTCTTTCTGTGACTTGGCGGGATCGGAGCGATGTAATAAAACAGAAACCTTTGGAGATAGACTAAAAGAAGCAGGAAGTATTAATAATTCTCTTCATATCCTTGGAAAATGCATTGCAGCATTGAAGCAAAATCAAAATCCAAAGTAAGTGACAAGTTGTAAACAGCATGCCAAGTTTTAGGTTGAAATCCTAAGCATCCCTTTATGTTTCTGCCAAGGGCTCACACAGTGAGAGGAAAATGAAAATATACAAAATCTTGTACACTTTCTTTATTACAGATGTCAGTGGAATACCCGACATGAACATTCTTGCTCTAAAACTGGTTTTTGTGGAGAATGAAAAAGGGCAGTTAGCAGCAAACTACCAAGCCCTTTTTTTTTTTCTTTTAACTGAGCGTGTATGTGTGTGTACTCTTTCTGTACAGAGCTCCCTTCTCTCCCTTTTCTCCTCTTCCCTTCCACCTCCCAATTATACAGGCAGATTCATCAGAGAGCTGATAGATACCTTGTACTTAGTTTTTGTCTTGTTCCAGTATCTGCTTTGTAAGACTAGGGAACTGTGATGCAGACACTATAGTATTTTTAAATAATTCAATTTGTTGGAGAGCATATGAAATCCAGGAAAGACCTTGCTCTGTGCTGTGAGGTTAGACTTAAATATGAGCATCCTGTTGGATCTGCTTCCTTAAAGAGAGAAAGAGAATTAAGGTAACTTACAGTGTCACATGATTTACATATTTTTTGTTTGTTTCACAATTTTCTTATGCTTTTCTCCATGAGGATGAAGCCAAGCTATATTCCATTCAGAGAGAGCAAATTGACGCGTCTGTTTCAGCCATTCTTTTGTGGAAAAGGAAAAGCTTGTATGATTGTGAACATTAATCAGCACGCTTCCACTTATGATGAAACGCTACATGTAATGAAATTTTCAGCTATAGCCAAACAGGTAAGAGATGCATCTACTTTCTCTGCATTCTTTGTTACTGTTGGTTTGTGAAATTATAAGGTTGTATGGACTTGAGTGTGATTTGGACTTTTGATGCGTCATATCAATTTTTCTGCATGGGGCTTCCCTTTAAAACGCTTCTAGGAGTCTTGCCCATCCTCAGACCTATTTCTGATAAGAAATTAAGATAGCTGCAGCTGTCTGGCTTTTTCAGTTTTACACCACTGGTATTCTGTGTAAAAAAAAAAAAAAAAAAAAAAAAAAGTAGTCAGGACACTTTAAGATATGAATGATTATGCCATATATCTGAGCAAATGCAAGACTTCCATTTGAGATTTTGATGAACTACGTGTAATTAAGCATCTGCTGTGCAAGATGACAGTTGTTCAAAACTTCTTGGACAAGTAATAGTGGTAGTAAAAGAAGTAGTTTCTGTCTTTATTTTGTTGTCTAAATGACATCTCTTGTGCCTGCATTGCTCTTGTTTGGTTAAGTGCAAGTAAGTAATAGGAGACAAAAGAGGAATTGTTATTGGTAAGTTAATGTTTAAAGGTAATATGCTCTTGTCCTTTGAAGGCAAACCCCCTTTGCTAGAGCTACATGCTTTCATACTTTTTCTGCTAGCTCTACTTGTTAGCCTCCCATTAAATTCAGGGCCTGGGACTGATGTTTGGTCTTAAATTCATTCAGCTTTCCTGGAAGCTACTTCTTGCAGGGGGTGGGGTCGTTGCTATGCTATGTTTCATGGCAGAAATAAAGTCCTTTTCTAGTCTGGAACCGCAGATTAATTCTGATATGTTCCAAGTCTGTAATGGTGTGTCTAATATGGTATCAGAAAGATTTCTCTAATTATCTTCAGTTGCAACTTTCATCATATTTGTGCACCGAGGAGGCAAGCTTCCCTGATATGTGTCATATGACATACATTCTTAAAATCTTTACATAACTAGTATGAATTGCTGAATCCTAGTCACAGTATTTTGGGAAGGAGCAGATGTTTTAGAAACTTGCTGCTTTTAACTTTCCAGGAAACACCACTAAAACCTTATATATCAAGGGGAGAGAAAACACTTGTCTACACGAGTCAGCTAAGTCTGTTAGTAGATAATCTTCCCCATTCTGACTTTATTATTGAAGTCTTGTATTGATACATGGCTTTTTGTCTGCTAAAAAACCCATAAAATTTTGTTAATGTGTGTTAACAGTGCAAATACAACAATGTGTTCATGCCGCTTGTTCCTAGTGTTTTGATATCTGCAATATTGACAGCATTGATAAGTCACTGTGTTCAATTCCTTTTTTTTTTTCCCAGGTAACCCAGACAATCCTGCCTAAAAGTTTTGGTTATTTTCCACCCAAGCTAGTGGAAGGCAACAGCAAACCTCTCATGCACTTTGATGCTAGCACATCTGTAGATGACTTTCCTGACAGTACTGAAACCTTCACAGAAGAGGAAGTGGACATCACCATTCTGAGTCATGAGGTAGTTACACATCTAATCTAAATTGTACCAAAGAAACTAATTGCTGTTAGTTCTAATATTAGAATCTTTTACCATAAGAGATGTGCTGGGAGATTATATCAAACAAGAACTGTAAGTTTCTGCTCACTGTCAGGCGGAGCTAGACTTAACGTGGTCTAGTTCTAAGGGAACAAGCGTAATTGTGGAAGGCTCTCTGTGGCTTTCTAGTCAGGTCGGGTGCTAAATTTGGAATTCAGCTGATTGCTCAACAAGAAGAGTAAGAAAGCAGTATGTCTAAAACAACAGTATTTAGTCATTTGTGCTGTTTGAGGAACAGCAGAGATAAGTTAAGAGGCAGCATGTTAAAAACAAAGCTATACAATCTAATAGCAATAAACTGTAAAAATCAATAAGCTTCATGAAAAATAATTGTACAAATTGATATTTAAACGCCAAAACATTATTAAACTTTTTGCTGGCAGAAACCATCAAGGTGGAAAAGGTTGTCTTTGCAGTCAAAATTCTGATTTGAAAATATTTCTTCAGTGCAGGCCTGTCTTTGCAGTCAAAATTCTGATTTGAAAATATTTCTTCAGTGCAGGCCTTCTAAAATTATAGGCTTGTAGAAATGTCTGGAAATGCTTGTAGAAATGCCTGTTGGGTAGCTGTCTGTCTGAATATTTCATCTGACGTGCATATCAGTGTGTGTTTCTAGCTTGTTTTCTGATCTGAAATACGTTAAATCTAGGATCTCTTGAAAACTACAGAGAACCTAAAGGAGAAGCTAGTTGCAGAAAGGCAAAGCAGACTCCTTCTGGAGGTGAAGATACGTAGAGAGATGGCGGAAGCAATGTTCCGACAGCTGTTGGAAACAGAGGAAGCCTGGAGGCAAGTCATATTGCAGTCCTCTTCAGTAATGAAAGGATTCCACATATAGAAATGCAAACATTTTTATATATCTGCAAGACATGCATACTCAAGTTACTTAGAGAAGTTAGAGTTAGACAGCTTCAAAGCTTCTGATGAAAAGGGAAGAAAGAACATTAAAATAAACTTGTACAGATCAGCCTCCTCCCATGTACAATGAAATGGGGACGCTGCTTTCGGTTGAACTTTTCTGTTTATTGTGTAATTCCTGAAGATTGTCCTGACTCATTATTAGTATTTAGCAGATGTGGAAGATTGTTACAGGTACCCCACCGAGGCTTGTGATTTGTTACAAAACTTGCACTTGATCATGTTGATATGCATGCATGTGCTTAAGGTAGTTTGAATTGTATCCCTTGGAGTTCCCTTAGAGTCTTGCTCCTGGATGATTTATGAACCACTGTTGGCTTACTACCTTATAAAGTACTGTGGCTGCCTGCACTGATGTTACTAATTTGGGGATATTTTTCAAGTGTGTCTAGATTGCTCAAGCTGAATTAACTTCCTCTTAATTCTCCTCTTCTTGAAATCAATTTTCTGCTGTTTGAGTTGGTAACAGAGACTAACTCCAAGTTAAGTTGCCAGATGAACACACTATGGTTTAACACCTGCACTGATGTTAAAAATTGTTTGGGTGCCTTTGGCCAAATGCACGAAACAGCAATGATGCTTTTTCTCTGTTAAGGAGATATTCTGTGTCACTGCTGTGGCATATTTTAAAATTGTGACAGAAGTAATGTGTAATGTATCAAAATGAAACAGCAAAATGCATTTGGCATTTCTCTTTAATGTAAAAAAACCCAAAATAATGCCAAACCCAACATGAAACGTGTGTCAAATATCAGGTTGCTACACATTAGTGGATTTTTTAATAGAATGTTTGATATATATTAAGTATATGTTCTTTTATAGCACTTTTCTTGTTGTTTGTCAAGTAGAAACTATGCCTTGGTGTAAGTCTGTAGGATTTTTGAGAATAAAAAGGAAAGAAGGGGAAAAAGTACTTCTTGGTATTCTTCACTATTTATGGTTAGATAAGTAACTTTTATCTTGCCAGTCGAACACTTGTAGTCACATTGTAATAGCTGGAATGCCATTATGTGAAATAAAACTAACATGTTCTCCTCAGCAACCGCTTGGAAGATATGAAAGACAGTTACGAAGAAAAACTGGAGAGCAAATTTGAAATGTATAAAGAAGCCATCAAGAAACATGCATATATGTGTGCAATGGAACAAATTGAAGACCAGTATGTTCCCATAGAAGAATTTCTAGCTGAACAAGAGAAAGTTGAGGTATGACTTGAATGCCACTAAAAAATGCATGCTATACTGTTAACTGTAAATTTTGCTTTTCTTTAACAGAATCATGTGGGAATCCTAAACGTAACACTGTATGGTCAAAATAACTGGCAGTTCAGCCTAGCTGTTCTGGTGTCTGATGCTAATCATACGGATAGAGATGTTTTCTTTTTAACACTACCTGTAGTGTATACATAAACTTCCTCATCTTTGAGGAAACAGTTCAATTAAATCCAAGTAATCCTTATCTCTGTAGTGCAATGATTGCAACACCTAGGAGAATGATGTATACAGCAGTCTGGCTTTGTGGAGATCCTTGGGATTGTAGAGTGTAGAGTAAACAGCTAGTCTCAAAGGATGGTGGGGAGTTTAGTACAGGGTCCCTATTTTAATTATAATGGATCTCTGCTCTGAACATGTAGAGGGAGGATTGTGGGGTAAGAAACTGCAATGAGAAATCAAACTTTATGCAGGAGAGAACTTTATTCTGCTGAATGTACTTAGTACTGCTCGGAGTTGGCATCAGTGAGTTGCTGTTCCTTTTGCAACTAAGCCAAGTTTGCCATGTGCAGCTCTACCAGTCTCTGCTTCCAGCCTCTGCATAGTGTATCCAGGCAACACATCAGACCTGTGAGTCTTGGTCTTTTAAGGAGGTCTGTACTGGAAGAATAGTACAATTGTGGTGTATACCAGAGATGCTTTCTCACTGCACTCTCCTGTCCAGGAACTGATAAGGCACCTCACTCCACTGGTAGGCAGGTTCATTTCATGAGGAAAGTGTGTTTCTGTTGTAGATTGTGATGTACAAACATCTCTGCTTTCACAGCAAGTCAAGTGCTGACAAGCACCACTGTATCGTGCCTCTGGTTTTCCAGCTCCTTCGCACTTGTCTTTTTCCTCACTTTACTTAGCTCTTGGGTTTATGTTCACTTAAACACTAGCTATACACCACGCTGGGGTTGGAGGAAGAGAGTTTTAATAGCACTCTCTGTATAGATTCATAGAAACATCAAGGTTGGAAAGGACCTTAAGATTATCAAGTCCTACCCACAGCCCTACACCACCCTAAAACTGAATCGCCTCCTGAAGTGCCACATCCAGCCATTTTTTAAACACGTCCAGGGATGGTGACTCCACCACCTCCCTCGGCAACCCATTCCAGTGCTTCACCACCCTTTTGGTGAAGAAATTTTTCCTAATATCCAATCTGAGCTTCCCCGGGTGCAGCCTGAACCTGTTCCCTCTTGTCCTATCACTATTCACTAGGGAGAAGAAGCCTGTAGTTGCCTCTTGTACTGGCCACAAGGCTGTATAAGGCAGGATTCAAAGAACAAAATGGCTTAGTAGCAAGTCAGATAAACTGATGAAATTCCTAAGATGATGAAATCTGAGGGAGCAACTTCAGAGAACCAGAATTAGATTAGTAACTTTTCTGGATGGTGACACTTGTTTGATTTCTCACTCTGAAATATCAGCCTAGCAATCTGACAGGTACAGAAAAAATGATTGTGATTAAAATTTAGTTATATGAAACATGTCCTTCCTTATTTAGCAAGCTCTCTGGTAACAGTATTTAACACAGATATGCTCAAGTTTCCTTTCTGCCATATGGTTACTTTGAATGCAGTTTGGAAATCTTCATACTGGAAGAGTTGACTCCTGTGTAAATTAACTTCTGCCTAGAAGGTCTCAGGATCTGAAGGTTATTCCTTACTGTGATTTCTCAACTGTGACCATCACAATTTCCAACTGTGAAATTATTTTAAACCAATGTATACATGTGTAGCACAATTGAAGTGTGGTAGTGCATCACATTAAGCAGAATTTAGACAAATTCTACTGTGTGCCCTTCTTTTTTTCAGGATAGAGAGAGGAAAATACTGCAATTGGAAAGGCAACTTGATGAACAGTCAGGGAGGCTGTTGGCTCTGGAAAATCCAAATTCAGATACAGGGACTACCGAAAATAACATGGAACTAGGTAGGAATCTAATCTGGATGTCCAAAGTTAATTTACTTTTGTTATTGTGCATAAACAGTCAAATTTTTATTTTGCCTATAGATCTTACGAACAAGATGATGAAGAGAGCCAATGAAGGACTGGAGAGACAATGCAAAGAGAAGGAAGAGGTAGCTCTTGTTCAGTATTTAACAAATCTGGGGCTAACAGTCCTAAACTCTGACATGGTTCAATGCTTAAAGATCCGCACTGTAGATGAAAGCATCGTGATTTCTTGCAAAAGGGCATCAAGTTTACAAAAAAGCCCTTGCCAAATTGGATGACTTTTGCCAGAGTTTGGCTGTACCAGCTTTACTCTGTTTTGTAAAAGCATCTGCTGCTGTAACGGGTCACGTGGTGAACAACATGCAAGTTGGAAGTTGGGAAGTACATAGCCTTGTCCTGGAATTTGTTTTAAACATTTCTGCCATGACTTCAGTGCTTTCCTCTGGAAATGCTGCCTGCTTCCAAGGAAGCAGTTAAAGAATCTGGTTAACAGTTTAGATCTAGAGCCAAAATAGTGCCTTAAACCAGTCCTTTCTGTAAGTACTCAACTCTACTTTCCTCTTAAGTAGAGGATAATGTCTCTGTTCTTCAGACAAACAAGATCCCTGAGTCCTAAATAGCATATAGGGGTGGAAATTACGAGCTTCAGGCTGTGTTATGAAAAAGAAATATTAATTATTTTTAAGTATGCATTTTTAGTCTGTGCCTTGAATTAACTTTTTGTCATGCTATAGAGTTTCCCATGTTTAAAGATGATGGGGAAGAGGGAAGAGACAAGCCTTGCTCCTTTCACTAATGACAAATAGAAGTAGGGGTTGGAGAAATACTTCCAGCTGGTTCAAATAAACCATGTAAATGGAAAGTGAACTTACACTTTCTCAACAGAAAGGGATTTATTCCAAAAATAGTTCTTTACTTACCAAGTCTTGTGTTACGGCTCTGGCATTTGTTTTCCATTCCTGTTTTGAGATCTCTACATAATTTTCCATTTCCTATGTCAGTTTCAAATTTTGGTGAAAATTTGGCTTTTATGTGTAATACAAGGATACAGCATTGATTGTTTTGTGTGACTAGAAGGCGTTAGAATGATAAGATTGCTGCCTCGCAATAACTGAAGTTGAGAGCAGCTTGAAGCAGTTGGTTCCATCAGTGCTGTTCTGCTGCTTTGCTTCTCGTATCTGCGCATGTGAGACGAGTAATTAACTTTGTTTTTTAATTCCTATTCAGCCATTGAACATGGGCAAAGGGTAGGATGTTCTCTGGTAATCTTGATATTTTTCCCTCCAACCTTGTAGAAGTAAGTTAATGATATAAAACTAACTTTGCAAGTTCAGAATTTCTTCTCCCTCTTGGAACTTAATCCATCAATATTCCCATCAGAAAAGTGAGGTCTTTTGTTGTCACTGTGCTCCAGTTGATCACAGGAAGAGTTCATGACACAAGAGTGTTCTTTTAACTAACCTTAGTGAAAAGGAACAGATGGTTCCAAGAGTAGCTCAGTCTATGCTGCTGCTCTTTGATTGACAAGTCTGTGTAAATCTAGTAGCTTCAGCACAACAGCCCTTGAATGCTCCAGCTGTATTTTATCACCAGAAATGATGGGTTTGGGACATAGGAGGTTGAGAGAAGCAGACTTCATCTTCATTGCTTTGAACTTGAAGTCTGCGCTGTTCAGCATTAATCAGAAATGCTTACTGTGTCTGTATGAGTTGTAGCCATAAACAAACTTAATGTAAAACATACTGTCTTGAACTTCCATGTGTATGGGTTTTATCTGCAGCTTATAAAATCCCTCAAGTTTAAAATACAGAAACTAAATGAAAACCTGCTAGAAGCTAATGAAGGCTACAGAAAAATGGCAGAAGAGAACAGTCAACTGAAGCATGCGATCATGCTCAAGGTTTGCCAACAATTTAAAAGCAACTTTAATATGGCTTGTATCTATAGTTGTAATGGATGTTTCTGCATCTTTCTACATATAAAAACACCATTCAGTCTTATAAATTTCTTTTGATGTTAGCATTTTTTCCATCCCTACAAGCTCAGAGCCCTTTTGTTTCACTCCATGACTTTGTATGTTGTAAGACATGACTCATTTTTCAATTTCAGTGATAGACTTGGTCAGTAGGGTAGTAATTCTGTGCTGACAACTCTTGCTGATCTAAAGATGCCACAAATTATTGTCAAGAAAAGAAAATACTTGGAACTCTGGCCATGAATTGTTTTGCAAGCAAGGTGTCAGTACCTAAATATTAGTGCAACAAGACATAAGGATTTATGGCTTTAAAGCTATTGACACTCCTGCACAGGTGGCCAAGCGGGATAAGAGGTACGGGCAGGTAAAATACTGAAATGGAAGAAGTTTCCTTCAAAAGCAGGGACTTCATAAAGATGATAGCATCTGACCTCAGATATCAACTAGATTCCTAATTTTTTTAAAAAATAATAAAATATTGAACTCTTGACACTTTGCATCTATGCCTCATTTGTAATCTGCAGATGAAGCATACAAGCATGTATAAGAAGCAGGTATAAGAGAGCTTAGTGATGTTTTACTTTGAACATTAAATTTAATGCATGTTCTTTAAGTGTAAGGCTGAAAATTATTCATCTTCAACTTTGTTTCTTAATTGAATCTAAGATATAGGAAGGTGACTTTTCGTTAACCACAAGGAATAGAGAGTATTTTTAAGATTCTGTGTTATGCCTGCTCAAATAATGTATTCGTTACTGGTTAGCAGACTTATGACTATGATGCAAATTTTGATTTGACCAGTTTTGCTTTCAGTAGTTACAGATTAAGACAGGAAGGCCGTCTTTATTTGCTTCCTACAACAGCAGTTCTTTGCAGGGTGTGGCTAAGCATTTTAGCATCAGTTTCCTAGTCAGCTTTGGTGTCTGACAAGATCTGATGGCCCTGTACTTTGCTCTTCTCTAAATTACACAGAAATAATTCAGAAGAAATGGGCATTGAGTAGGATTTGGCATAGTGATAACAAGAGTCTTTGCAGGAATAGTGAAATAATCTGAAACAGAAAATGAACTACATGAAAAAGGCCTTGGAGTGTCCACATACTTAACCCAGCCTTGTTCTCACAGGATCAAGAAATGAATAGTCTTCAAAACTGGGCTAAGCGTGTTCTTGAGCTTGAAGAAACAGTGTCTTCCCTGCAAAAAGAACTTGATGAACAGAAAAAGCATTTCTCTACAGAAGAGCCAAAACAACAAAAACCCAGGAGAGGTTTGTTGGCTAACCTCAAGTCAACAGTGGCAGCCACTGCTAGTACACCTCCTGGTAAAGCCTGGGGGAAGCATGAAGTTGCTTTATCCTCTTCAAGGAAACATGTACTTTTGTCTCATAAAGCAAAAGAATAATATTTAATTAATCAAAGTGTACAATTACCAGGATTTTTATCAATCTTAAACTGTTGGTAGCTTTTTCTTGCTCTTAAATGCTATCTTCACTGTTGTGTTAACTGACAGAAAGATGTTTAATACAGAACTTTCAACTTCATTCAATTTTTAATTTAAAGCAATGTAAGTTTAGGTTTAAACTTGTGCTTTTACTGTTGATAGAAGGATGTGATTTAAGAATTAGAGATATAATTTTAATTCTTGAGTAACTGCTATCAGGGCCTTCTATACTGATAAATGTGTTATTCATGCAAAGAGGGATGTTCCTTATCTGCTACTCTGTGCTTTTTAAAATTGATTTTATTGTTGACTCCTAGAATCAGATGGCTTGTGAGATTAATCTCAAGTAGTTAAAATAGCTTAGTTCTTCAGTTAACATTCTGGCTTTGACCTAGGGATTGTCATCTTGGGACTGGGACCAAACTGAGCAAATTGCTAGAAGAGGCAACAAAATGAGGCCTTATCTGGCTTCTTGCTATTTTTCAGTTAACTTGGCTTTGTAAAGGAACTTATTTTAATATCATATGAATTTCTACGACAAGTATGCATTAAACTTTGAAAAATGCATTTATAATAAAATCTTCCATTGCTAAATTAAGCTCTGACTGTTCATTTTATAAAGGTGAGAAAAGCAGTGAAATCAAGATAAGGAAGATCATAAAATTAAAGGCCAAATGCTCATAGTGATTGACATATGATCTTGAGTTGAAAGAATCACAGTCCTGATTATATTACTTCCCTTTATCAAGTGACTCAAGGAAGGAAGACTGCAGCGTGACAGAATTTGAAACAGCTTTCTCAGAGCTGTTTCAGTCTGTGAGGCTGAGAGATTTTTCTAACTACTTTGAAAGTACCATGCCTGTAAGTGCTGGAGGATTGCTTTAGAAGAAGGCAGAATCCGTAAGTAAATTGGACTGATCAGTCCCTGTAGTGCCGTTTCCCATAGTGGAGGGGGACTCAGTTCAGACCAGGAACCTCAGCCATCCTGTGGCGACACTAGGTGGTGCAGCGTTCCTATGTGACAAGGACAACAGGCCCTGTCTGGTGTGACGGTTCTTGCCAGATCTTTTGAGTTTCACGTTGGTCTGTGCAAATGCAAGGGTAAGTAATCGCTCTGACGTGTCTCTAACCGGGTGGGAGGTGTAGCACTAGAGCTAGTGCTGTTCCCGTGTTTTGAACTGTTTCTGCTAAATAGCCGTTATTTGGCTCCAGTAGTTCTAAAAGGCCTATAATCCCTCCAGGGTAGAATTTCTAAAATATTATTCTACTCACCCACAAACTATTCCAGCTATTAAAAGATATTTTGTGGTAGTGATACAATACACTGAGGGGTGATTCCTTGAATAATGAAGCTGTTACGTACCAATTGCTCTAAGAACAGCAGTGTTTGAACAGAAGTTCAAGAAAAAGGCGTATGCTGGAAACTTTCTGTAATACCATTTCAAGCTATCTCATGCTACACCATGACAGTCTGAGATGCATGTTAGCAAGTTTTTTGTAGCACTAACTGCAACTTCTTATTCCCTGAGCTGCTGCTGTTTCCTTGTTCCCTCCTACTTCTCAGAGCTCTTTGGTTGGCTGCAGGAAATGGCTTGAAAGACAAGGCCACATTATTTTAACGATTTTTCTTTTTTCACTAAATTAAAATGAAGCTTGTAGTGAAGCACTGACCAAGTCTTAACTGTAATGTTTTCCATAGAGTTGCAATGCACTGTGTTGCTGTTATATTAAAGACTTTTGGAAGAAACACTGACAAGGATGCAGAAAGGACTGGTTTGCTCTTTTTCAGCTTCTCAAAGCTGAATGGGTGATGATGGTGCCCATGCAGGGGATGTGGTCTATCTGGATATC